CAATCATTTTATTCTTACCAGAGTAAAGATCGATCTTCTTCTTCTTCCTCTTTTTAATTATTTCATGCGGTGGATGAAGATGAACAAACAATTACGCACTCCACGGCTCCACTATGATCGCTGAGTCTCACAAGTATCCATTTAATGGCTCTGCTCTTCAACTTTCTATTATGATCTGATCTCGACTTTTCACAAACCAATGGCAGACGCTGGGTTGTCATAGGAAACCTATCCTTCAATCTTGATAAAGACCCCTCCCAGTTTACCACTGGACAGAGAAAGACCCATCTTTTTCAAATTGGATGGGGTGGCTGGCTGGCTGCAATGAAATTAATTTGTTATTATATATTTATCTTCTTCCATATTGATTTGAGACCCTCTAGCTCAAGCAATTGCTTATTTGCATTTATTTGAATTTCATCACCTCAGACCCAAACGATGCAATTGTGGACCACCTTCACAACCAATACATTTTCCTTTCCTAGTAAAGCCTTTACTCTTTGGTTGTTGAGTGAAATTATGGGAATTAATTTATACATTTCCTACAACTTTGAACTTGCTTCCAACTTCTTTGTGTGCTTAATGTGCCACCCTACAGCTTTTGTTACTCCATGGCAAACTCGGGTTTATGACTCAGTCTGCAGGGTGTGCCAACGCGGTGGTGGCTCGGCCTTTATCTTTGAGCTCCCACTAAACCAGAGGGATATATTTAATGATGAAGCCCGTGGAATAGCGCCTAAAACTCTGTAATGTATTGAAAACTAAGGTGGGTCTTGTGGTGAAAGAGATAAAGATTTCCTCTTATTTCCACTTCCTCCCCAATCGATCAGTCTCTTTTGCTAATCTATTTTACACTTCTGTTTCTTAAGCCATTCCCATATAAAACAAACAAGGAGTACTTGGGGAGGAGAATAGAAGAAACAATCCAAAATCTAATTGTAACAAACATTTACAAATATTTAGATCAAGAAAATGGTTCATGAAATCATGGTCTAGTAATAACTTTGCTGTAATGTTTGCTAGACTAAATTCCAATTTATCTAATGAAATTTCTAGGACAGGTAATACACACACACACGCACACTCTCTCTCTCCCTCTCTCTCTCTATAAATTCTTACAACTGAAAAGAAATTCACAAGCCTAGAAGGAAACAAAGTTACTAGATAACTAGAGGGACTAAGTAATATATATCCATGCATGATTTTCTTTTCTAACGAGTACCTGTACCTTCTGTACAACATCTCTATGGTGTATATCATGCAATCTACTCTGTGTTGTGCCCGAATTTCTGCTTCTGACTATAGAGAACAGTGGGACGAGATATTTCTAAATCGTCCCACTGTTCTCTACACCGAGCTATCGCCTAGAATCGATCAAACGATGAAGAGATTCTGAAGAGAGAAGGGTAGTGGATGAACTATCGCCTGTTGTGCAATGGGTTCGACCCTGTTGGTACCTTTCGCTTCTCGGACTCCATATCTCTGGTGGTTTGGCCAAATGCGTCTGGGGCTGTAATTGAAGTATCAAAGACCTGCTGCTGTTGCTTCCCAGTAGAGAGACTGGTGAAACTTGCCCGCAGGGCCTGAATTCTGGGAGATATAGAGAGGAGGAGAAAGGAGAGAAGAAGACAAAGATGAAAGCGATTCATATCTGAATAATGTGTTGGAGGAAAGACAGATACAATAGAGCTAATGAAAGAGAGGGGGAGGGAGTGCTAGCTAAGCTGTCCTTGGTGGTGGTGGTCGTGAAAAGTACAACAAGGCCCTTTTATGTTAATGGTGATGGAGGGTGCTTTACATTGTGGTTATTATAAATGGCTATGGTTTGCCCAAGTGCAGAGAGAGAGAGAGAGAGAGAGAGAGAGCCCACCACAGTACAAATATAGCTGGTAATTAAGTGGGATCAGCTATTCTGGTCAGGATCTGATGGGTGATTGGGTTTTCAAACGTCAAAATTGAGTGTAAAATTAATGGGTCACCTTCCTAGAAGAACAGTTGGAATGCAGAGGTTTGGTGGAGATCCCACTTCAACAATGGCGGTGACCTAAGACTTGCAGAAAAACCTGTTCATGTGAAACCTTAATTAATTAGTTAAAGAGTTCACAAGCTAGCACAACGACCTTGGATTTTTCCTTCTGAGATGACCAAAGCAGCCTTTGACTCAGAAACACATAAAAAAATGTCCTTTTAATCAAACCACTGCCTCCTCTTCCAATAAGTCCATTTTGGCCATGTACACAATTAAAGGTCAAACATCAGTTTCAGAAGCCAACGTACTGAATTGGCGTTGGCCAACAACAACATATATCCAAAATCATGGCTATTAATTTGTAGTTTCTTCCTTCCAAATAAACTTTTGATGAAACAAAGAAAAAGGCCAAAATAGATTGCTTTGGTCGTTGCAGCATATTTGGATTTGTTTTTTTCTGGTCCAACAACGCGTTAGTGAGGAACTAGCCACGGGTTGTCCGCCCGCACTTTGTATGTATTATGTGTGCTTTCACTTGCACAATGATGAGAATCACCGACTCTTGTTGCCAGTGGAATGGTAATAAGTTTATAACCTCCCTGGTGCTGCTGAGTCAACCGGCCTGCTCTTCCATTTCTGGAGTCATCAACTCATCATGTTGTTTAATTGGTTGATATCTAACCATCTGCTCTCTCTCTCTCTCTTGAATGCATGACTGACTATTACTAATAGGTGAACTGGAAAACCGTGGGTGAGATTATCTATTAATTCGTTATTCTATGTTTAGTTGACAAGCCAAACCAGAAGCTGGAAAAGGTATGAACAGACTTTTTGGGGGGAACCTTTTTGATGGGGAGAGAGAGTGGGGTGATAACTTGTTTCTCTTGCAGATTTCAATCCACCAATGGATACTTGGAATATTTATCTCTTTATTTCATTTCCTACCTTCCAAGCAGTTCTTGTGATATGAAAAATAGTGGGCTTTCACACAGGGCTAATGAAAATAATTTGCGTAAATTGAAGACCAAGAATGTAAGAAGAAGCTCTAAAGAAATATAGATTGGCTGGTCAGGGGCCGGCCGGTCATCAGTTGCTTTCTTTCTGCAGGAAATTAAGGGAGGATCGAACTTGAGGATGAAAATATATAGGAATTTGCCACGTTAGAATGTAAAGTTTTATATATAGGCGCGTGAGTAATCTTGCAGGACGATCTTTCAGTGTATAGTACTCAGCTCCGTCGAAAAAGAAAGAAAAATCATCACCAAGTTTGACATTGTTTTGCAACTTTGTCACCGACCCCAGCATTCTTTTTCTTCTTTATGCCAACCCTAATTAGTACTGTCACACTCACAATATATTCCAGTATTGATGCAATGACTGAGTCGATCCAAATGGGTGACTAACATTTGAAGTCGATGAGTGGACAGAGTACGATGCCAGTTGATCGTGGATCAGTACTCGGCGACTGGACCTCCATTCTTCCCGGCTTAGAATCAGAAACACTTGAGATCCACCATCTTTTTAAAGTTAGGAATGAGGGGACATTAGCAATTCGCCTCTTTGTGCCTAAAGACGAATTGAAAAAAAAGGCAAAAAAACTCCATTTAGAACTTTCAGAAAATAACTCAAAATGGATTTTACAATTAAATCTTTTTTTCCAACCAAACAAAAAAAATATCGAAACTGGACTGAATTAACGGCCACTGTCAAAAAACTAATTTTCCTTTTAGATTTCCATGAATATAATATATGCTTGAATAGGCCAAGGCCAAAGCACGTTATCTGATGGGTGTGGGTGTGTGAAATCAACACCCATCGACCTCTTTTGTTCTTATTACTGCTTGATCAACGAAGTGGTAGTACTCCAAATTTAAGATAAACAGTGACGACCTCTGACTTTTCTAAACAGAAGCTGGCACTTGAAAGGATTAATTTCTTTAACTCTAAATACAGTAGTGCCAATGCCAATCATGGAGCTAGTCATATTGACCAGCTGTTCCGCAGCTATTAATTGCAACGTATAGTAGAGCTTGGGTAGAGTTGTCTATTCCCACTCAATTTGTTTCTTTGAAGAAGTCTCTTGTCTTCCATCTAGAGCAATAGAGCTGGAGGAGTTAGAATTGTTTTCAGCAATTTTTTATTATTTTTTTCCAGAACAACTTGTTCTCAATGTTTTTTAGTTCATTCTGCCATGTCCATATTGACAAAATCAATTATAGGATTATTATATTAAGAATTGATATATGATTTATGATTGTAATTATGTTTAAGATTAATTAATAAAAATAAAATTAATTATTTAGTTTAATAAATTTTAAATTAAAAGTAATTGATAAAAAAACAAAGCCCATCCAACCTAAAAATAATGTATGGGCTGGACTGACTGACTGGACCCAATTAGACATGGGTTTGCTAGTACAATCTACACTAGCAAATTTACATCAAAATAGTTAGTTTCTACAATCTACATTAGCAAGAGAACTCAATTGATGCATGGGCTTGAATAGATGTCTGGTTAGATTTGGGTTGACAAATTTGGGTTTTGACATCAGTTTATATAGGTCCGGGCAATGCTCATGTTTAGGGTTTATTTATAGCATGTGTTTTGTTTCATGCATGTTTTAGGATATGCGTTTATTAAAATGCCACTATGTTATCGTCAAATCAGTATTTTTCTCATCATGTTCATCTATACGAGTTGATATTTACAAAAGTGGGTTTTGATTTATGTGTGCATCTACCGTTGAGAGAGGCTTCATTTTAATGCTTCCCCCAATGACTGAGCCTTTATTCACTTAACTCCTGATGTGGTGCCATTAGGTGCCTAATGGTGCCTATTTGTCAATAAACAATTTATCAAGTACTTTCTCAGGTTTTAAAACAAATTAAATACAAACATTTATTTAATAAACGGAAGCTATATCAAATACATACTTAATCAAACTCACCCCATGAAATCATCTAATTAAAACATAAAAAAGTTTTTAATGTGATTTCTTATTTAGAAATAAATAACCCCATGTGTGAAAAATAATTTGAAAAATGAGAGAAACAAAGATCAAGCACTGAGGTGAGAGGATGTTTTTCGGCCTCCCTCTTCTGGATGGCAGTGGGCTCACTGAAGTGAGCGAGTGAAAAGCGATGGTTCTGGGCCCGTACACATGCAATGCGAAATGGGGTACGCGATTACATCCCTGCCGGATGTTTTAGTCCCTGCCGACGGTGAGCCCCACAAACTTAATACATGTATCTCCTTTATTCTTTCTACCATTTCCGTCTCCGTCAAGTTCTTATTCATCAATAACTGAACCAGTTTCTTCTTATTAGGTGTAATGTGTTTCATGTGTCCCAGATAGGCCCGGTGACCCTAATCATTCATTAAGATGAGATACAGTAAAGTTAAGCCAAACAAGCCATGTAAACAGATTCAAGGATCCATATATAACCATATAATTAGAGGTGTAAAATGGGCCATGCTGGGTCAGTATGGCATGGCCCATATGCGGTCTACGCAGAGTGCAGGTCAAGCCGTGGATCGGGTCAAAGTTATTTATTTAAAAAAATTGAAAAAAAAACTTAAAATTTTAATTGTATATGAATTTTGATGTATACAATTTCTTATATATACAATAATTAAATAAAATTGTTTATTTTATTAATATTATATACTATATATTATTATATAATTATAATAATTATAATTTATATAATATATATTATATATAAAATATATGGATCCTATCAATCCACGAGCCATGGGTGGCATGGCACAACAGTGCGGGCCATGCCGGCCCAGCCCACTGACTTAAAACCCCAAGCCCAGCATGGCCCATCAGCCCATACAATTATACCAGGCTGGGCCGGTTCAAAATCGTGCCGAGCCGATTTACACCTCTACGTGTAAAAAAACCTGTAGACATGACGCAATATAGAATACCTGCAACGCCCGTGCCATGTTTCCACCATGATTAGCCATGAAGACTTGGCTGTTGAGACAAACGACATAATCGATGGCCGCTAGAACAGAGGGTCGATGCTTAAGCTTAACGAGGTCAAGCTCTCCTTCTGCTGCTGCTAAGACCCATTTGTTGTACAAATGAGGGAACTGCGATCTAAGTGGTTCCAGAGCCTTATCTCCACCTAATGCCTCACCTCCAGCCATGTATATCCTTGTACCATTCGAAGCTCCAAGGGCCTTCAGCAGCCTGAATTATATTATATACATAACAAAAAAAACAAGTAAAGCTGAGTTAAGGGAAATTTCCGAGCCAGGCCAGGTTGGCCGGCTTAGGGCTTTCTTGGCCCGGGCCTGGCCCACCTTGTGTACATGCTTGATGTGGGTGTGAGTCGAGCCGGGCCTGGCAGAAATATGGTTGCCCAGGCCCGGAAATTTGCGGGCCGGGCCAGGTCATAAATGATCATGCCTATGCCCGTGACCAACCGCTATCTTTTTCCTTCTTATTCCAAATTAGATGGCAATCCAATGTAGGACCTCGCCATTCAGAAAATGATGTAAAACAAACTCCCAGACTACCAATAAATCCTTGTTGGGATTATGAAAACTGGATTCACAAGGAAAACCCATTGACTATATTATTTTCTCTGAAAATGACAAAATATATATATATATATATATATATATATATATTATTCAATGGCTCTTCCTTTCTCACTAGTTTGTTGACGTGCATTTAGTATTTACTGTCACTATTTTTATTCTACTTTATTACCAATTAATTGCTTTAGTTCTTCTTACCATGGTTTTCAAAACTGGACTGGAGGACGGTTGGACTGGAAAAATCGGGAACTCATCACCTGATCTGTTTTGTTTTTCCCCAAAACCATTTTTTTCCTCAAAATCATTGATTTTGGTCAGCAAACTGCTAAATCAACCAATTAATCATTCGAATGATTTTGACCATTTTTCAATTTTTTTAATTTTGTTTGTCAGAGTGACTGACCGTTCAGGTTGAACGATCGGACCATTCGAACTAGTAACCGGACCCCTGACCAGTTCGGTTTTAAAAACCATGCTTCTTACATCAGACGACGTTTTCTCTGTCTGTGTATTGGTCCATGACTCAACTGGAAGTCTGGAACCACCCTATCTACTTGCCATTTTAATTGAAAAATAATCATCAAACTCAAATAACAAACAGCTAGAGATAGAGAGCTCCATGCATCCTCCATGGTTTATTGACTGAATCTGAATGTGGCTACCTACTTTAATTACTTACCTAGTGACCTCAATGGCATTTAAGGGGCAAAGTCCAGCGACATATCGATCTCTGGCTGTCATATTTATTCGGCTTGTAAGCAACTCTGGATGAGCTAACCGATCCGACTGGACCAAACGGTCTACCTCCTCACCCAACCCAGGAAGGCAGCCCGTCCTTAACCAAACATCCTTCTCCAGCCGAAGGTGCAACGCCATGTATGGACCTCCCTCTCCCATTCTCTTTGCTAGCTTCTCTCCTATCTCCTCTATCCATGCCCTAAACTTCAGCGCATGAAAAGCAACCTATGCACACACTTTGCCCCTTATCAGTATCCAAACAAAAAGTGCCAACTCTGTAAATTAAACAAATAAAATTTAAGTAAGACCCCATTTACTGATTTACATACAGGCCAAATAAAACTCAAGACGCACGTCTAACCTTGCAACGCAGCTTCTGTAAATCAGGGCCGAGATCCTTGGAAAGCTTTGAGTCTAAACCACTAAGAATTAACGCTCCATGTTTGTTAAGCTGTCATTATATTGAAGGAGACATAAGAACCTGTCTCTGTATTATATTTTTTTTTCGTGGACCAAGTCTTTTACGTATATATTTATAGTTGTTTGAGTTTTATCAAAGCGCGTGCAGCTTGATCATACATATAGATATAAAAATAACAAAAATGCAAAAGAAAATTAAAGAAGCAACTCACGCGCCCCATGAATTGTTTCCGTATCCAGTCTTCGTTTACGTGTAACTGCTTGATGGATGAGCTGATTGATCTTCTTCTTCTTCTTCTTGTTCTTCCGATGTATGTGGTGGTCGGTGGCAATGTTGAAACGATATGTACATCGTCCTTGAGCGTCTGTTTGAAGTGTTGATCATCAAAGATATCGGAGAATTCACTGCATTGTTAATCAAGTAGTAAAATTAACGCCAAGAGAACACAAAACAAAAGAGAATAAATGATCGGACTGTTGATGGGTTGTTGAAGGGTCAATCAAGTTCCATTCTTATCGAAGAAGCCCCACCTCGAACACAGACAGAACTGACATAGTCCGAGATGTGATCGATCAAATCAAACCAAGGAAAATTGCCTCCATTTCCAACAAATATGATTCAAAAGGAAGGGGTCGCACCTTTCATCTCCCCACACTCGATTGACTTGTAGTACCGGAAGGACTAAGGAGGTATTGAGAATCCTAGCTATGACAACGGCGTCGATGATTTGGTTCCGTTGTTGATTCAGCCCTCCAGAAACTACGACCATCAAGAATGTCCTCCTCTTCTCTGTGCCACCATTTGACGCCCTGCGATACCCATCGCTGAAATTCAAACATGGACGGAAACCCAAATCGTCTGGCTGCTTCCAGAACTCTTGTGAGTAGGAGACGTTATGAAGAGAGCTCGAAAGTTCGACATTGTTGAATTCTCTGCCTGTCTCTGTCTGTAGCCGCTGATGATCAAATGTGCAAGGCACAGGGGGAGAGAAGCCTAGCAAGAAGACGCTTAAGCTCGTGCAAACAGCTATTACCAAAAGCAGATAACCTGATTTCCGAAGATTTTGATTAGAAATGAATGTTGATTTTGGGTTCCCAGAAGGCTTGAAAAGAATAGCAGGTTTCTGATAGACAGAGATATAAGAGAATGAAGAGATGTCTCCTCTCATAAGGGAGTGTGGTTTGTATCGAAGGAATGAATTAAAGGGTGAGAATGTTAGGAAAACAGACAACCAAGACATAATGGCAGATTTAATTCAAAACCTTATTTTTGTCTCTGTCTCAAATTTAATAAGGAAAGTAATTAATCACTTATGCAGAATAATGTATGTGACTCTTATGTCCTAATTTAAGTGGCAAGTCTCTCTCACATGATGACTTCAAATAATCTACCTATACTGTATATATAAAAAGCAAGGTTGTCTATGTCATCCTTCCTCTCCTTTCTCTCTCTTCTCCCTTTCCTGCTTCCTCTCTTTAACTCTCTCTCCTTCCTCTATTTTCTTCCCAAACCTCCTATTTAGCCATGTGGCACCCATCTCCTCTATATATATATATATATATGGGCTCCATGTGTATGGAACACTGAACAACTTGGGATTGAATCCCACCTTCACCACAAGGGTTAATGGGAGGGCTGCCTCAGTAATGTTGCATTACCTAGCGGGAAAAAATGTGAAAAAAAGAAAAAAATAGCCTCATTCTAAAAGATAAATACTATATTTGTATTTCCTCTTAAAGAAGATACATTTGTATTCTTGGATTGAGAAATTCCTCCATGATCTCAAGCTACTCTATCTCCAAAAAATTCAACTCCCACCAGCTTCATGTTGTCCATATTAGTTTTTCCTCATTCATTTCACCTAATCATCACCTACTTAGAGATCACAAAATACACATTCATCTCCATTGTCCTCTTTGCAGGATCAACAGATGTTGTGTTCTTTGTCAGAAAATAAAAAACCTACTCAAAAACCTCACCTTACAGCTTAAGCTTTTAGGTTGAACAATTCTTTAAGATGGTATCAAAGCCTGTTTGACTAAGTGGTCTAATGTCAAGCCCTCATCACCTCCATTATAATTAATTGGTGGGCTTGTACTTGTTCATGCTATCAAGCCTGGTAGACTTTCGTATGAGGGGGTGTATTAGAAAATGAAAGCATATTCAGGAATCTCATCTAACAGCTTAAGTTTTTAGGTTGAATGATTCCTCTAGAATTTTGTTAGAGGTTTGCCGGTTAATTTAGAAAATTTTATATTTAAAATCGAGAGTTGGAGTGTAAAAGTCAAAATGATTTTTTTTGAGTTTTTGGGGGTGTATGGTAATAAGAATGAATGTATTGTTACTTTTTTGAAATTTTTGGGAGTGTAAAAGTCAAAATGAATGTGTTGTTACTTTTTTGTGATGGAGATATAGTTAATTCTGACTATGGATCTTTTGATTTTGTTTGTTTTAATTATTTGGGTTGGCTGCAGCATGCAGCAGGAGGAAGATGCGACTTGACTCTTGAGGGATGGAGTGCTGGAGATTGAATTGTTAGCGATAAGAAAGGCCAAGTTGTTTGGAAGGATATAGATGTGCTATTATTAATTCGGACCCTCTTATAGTAGTTTCTTGTTTAGATGGACTTGTTAATAGTCTTCCTTGTACTTGTTCAGAGAATATTGATGGTATTTTGTATAATTCTAGTTGGTTGGAACATGGAACAGGTTTCCTTTTGCCGTGTAAATAGGGATAGAAATGTGGTGGCTCATATGATAGCTTTGGCTTGTTGGGCGAAGACTTTTGAGGAGGATAGGATTTGGTTTGAATTTGATAGCCCTCCTTTTTTTTATGGAATATTTGTATGATTTTACTATTAGTTAATGATATAGTTACTTTATCTATCAAAAAAACTAGGGATGATGATTTTCAGCCCGGCCCAGCTTGAAAATTTCTGGGTTTGGACGTTTTGTGTTTAGGTCCGGCCTAGGCCCAATTACGTAAAATACTTCAAATGAACACAGCCCTTGAAACTTGACTCATAGTGCCAATGGGATCCAAACCAAAACCCCAAAACTAGCCAAGGTCCATTTATGTACTGCCAGTTCCCATGAATATTAATCTTATTCAAATTCAAATATTGATACAATTAAATTTAAATTTTGACATTAGATCCAAATCAGACAAATGATAAATTTGATATATCCAAAGCCTATATCAGTATTATTGAAAGTTGTATTACTTTCTTTAGATAGAGATTGACGAGCAACACTGTGTTAGTTGAAAGTTGTATAACAGCCTTAGTTGAAAGTTGGCGAGCACACAAGCCAAATAGCCAATGCCTTCCAAGGAAGATCAACAATCGACATACCTAACCGTTGTGTTCAATGAATGATCAGATTGATCTTCAGTTGGCTGGCTGATTTTTGACAGCTTGGGCAATATGTAAACCAATATTTTGAACCACCGTTGAGTCGGATGGTCGGATCGTTCGGACTGGAAACCATTCAGACAATTGGTTTCGTTTTACCCTAAACTTGGTTCTTAGCAAAAAACTATTGAATTAGTCAAGACCCATTGACATGGACATGAATAGGTGAACGAGTCCGACCCAAAAACGCTTTCAACAGCACAGGCTGTTAGCCACCAAATGCCAAAGTTATCTCAATTTTTTAATTTCTGAAACCTCCCCTGCAGTTTTTAATGTTTCTGAAACATCGCCTCATGTTTAGTAATTGCAATCACCTCTCCTGAACTTTATGAAACAGTTGCAAGTAGGCCCTCACTGTTAGAATCTTCTAACAAGAGACACAAAAGGTCCAGAATACCCATGCATCAATCGCTACCGAAAAACCCTTCCAATCTCTTTTCTAAAATTGATGTATTTTTCTTAAAGATAAAACTGCAATTTTAAACTCTATTTTTTTTGTTGTTCATAAAATTTGAATTATTTTTTTCTACAAAAAACCAGTTTCAATAGTAACTGCATGGGTATTTTAGACATTTTATGCCTCATCTTAGAGGATTCTAAGAGAGGGGGTTTACTTACAAAACTTCGGGGGAGGTTTAAGCAACGGTTAAAAATTCAAGGCGAGGTTTCAGGAATTTACCCTTAGGCTTCGTTTGGAAAAGATGCAAATAGAGTGTAAATCCCAGTTCAGGGTAAATTTGCACTCTAGTTCACTTTTGCTTGTGTTTGGCAACATTACATTTTTGCATTGACAAATGACAGACTAATGCATATTTACATTGATAATAAGATGTAAAAGTACATCAATAAAAAAGAAATAAATTTGCATTCAAGTGAGCTTTTGATAAAAAAAAAGCATATGCTTTATTGGAATTTGTGTTTGCATCTGATGAGGGCAGATTTGGCCCTCCACTGACATCATAACACATGACATATCAAAACAGTTGGACTACATCCCAGCATCACCTAGGCGACAACTTGCCTTAGCCAAAATGGGGTCCTAACTAGCGACCTGCCTCTACCGCCGACTTGGTGACCTACTTCTACTGCCGACCTGGCGACCTGCCTCTGTCGCCGACCTAGCGACCTGGCGATTTGCCTCTATCGTTGACTTGGCAACCTACCTCTTTAGAAGCTTGCCAATTGTCTCCGAACCTTTCGGGATCACATCACATAACCGTAGGCCTTATCCTCATCTCGCCCGAATCGGAGTGAAACGGTAAGCCTTATTAACTAGCACATTATCCTCCTTCCAAAGCGGAACGGACCCCTATGTCATGGGCCGAGGATTCCAGGAGTGTTTCGCTATACCCATGGCAGCCCAACTATATAAGGGCGTCGGCCCCTGAGACCCAGGTAGATGCACAATTTAATTCTCGTAGCTCTCCAGCTCTCTCACATTTAGTAATTTTAAAATCTCGTATTCGCTAACTTAAGCATTGGAGTGCCCACCCCGGATAAAGCAACCCAGGTACTCTGACACTGTTTCTTTGCATGTCACATCAGAGCCCAGCTCGTCACCATTCAGCTAGGCATCAGAGCCACTTCTCCAACTCGTCACCATTCAGCTAGGCGTCCAAACCACCTTCCAGGTAGGAACCATCCAACTAGACATCCAAGCCACATTCCAGGTAGGGATTATTCAACCAGGCATCCGAGTCACCTGCCAGCCGGGAGCTGCCGAAATGCGCATCATCAGCATCTATTACAATTAAAAGTCTGTTTGGTAAGAAGGTAAATTTGTCAATGCAAAACTAGCCCAACTTTGCAATTTATATGAACCGTTTCACTCTACATATTTGCATCGTTTCCAAACGCAGCCTTAATAATGAAACAAAATGAATGTTACAAAAATTTAATTAACGCAGACCCAATTTCCTGCTAAATCCTGCAAACTAATCTCTAGTGCACATACACTCCTTGCAGCGAGGATGTCTGTAAACGCTCCTTGCAACAGGTCTCTCGTGAGCCTGCTTGGTTTGCTTGACTGCTTTTCTTACTCTTTTCTCGAACATCTTCCATTCAATTGTAGAGTTCTTCAGGAATATATTAGCAAGCCGGCGCTTGTTTGGCCTTATTGTTGGCATTCTCCCATCACCAAAGTATATCCGATAGCCTGAAACCAATGATGAAAGTTGACTCCCAGAGTCCGTCATGGAAAATGCATCAGCTGCCGCACAAGCTATGAAGTCCAGTGCTGCTAACTGCATTAAAAAAAAAAAATCGATTCATCCACCACCAATGTCAAATATAAATAATTTACAGGTATTTTAAAAACATGAAGGCTGTGTTTGGTTGCAGTGCAAATACATAGGAGTGCAAATGTAAAAAATGCAAATTCTTTTTTAATTTTGTTTTGGAATTTACTTTATTATGCTTCATGTATTAATTTACTTCATTTGAACTGCAACCAAACAAAATAAGTTAAAAGTTAAAACAAAAACAGATCAGAATTTACACTTGAATCATTTGCACTGCCATGGTTTTGCATCAGTGCAAATTTATTTACATTGCAACCAAACACAGGCGAAATGATTTAATGTGTTCCATTTTTCTAAATTAAGGGCCATTACTCAATGTTCTTCCCAGTAGGGGTGTCCGATCCAGTCCAATGTGAGTCCATTATAAATGGACCAAGCCCAATCCAATCCAATGAATGTTTTGGAGCAATTTGGACAGGTCCAATTCAATGTCTGGACCATCCAATTTGTTCTTGATTTCAACCCAAACCCGGTCCATTGATACATATTCTTATCTTATATCAATGGACCAGATATTGGCTTAATCCAACCCAATTCAATATAAATTTGTTATGGATGGACCAGGTCCAATCCAATCTAATAAATATTTTGGACCGGATTGGTCCAATCCAATGTCTTGTCGGTCCATCCAATCCGTCCAAATTGATTTTGGACTGGACGGGTCCAATCCAAAACCGGTCCACTGACACCCTTACTTCCCAGCTATCAGCATTTCACCAATTGCAACAAGCATTAGCCCCTTCTATTGTTCTAAATTGATTCTTGAAAGTAATTTTTCTTATTCTAAATAAACTATGCAACAGATTGTTGCAACAAAAAGTTACAACCATTAGCCTATGGACCGAGTGATTCTGAAAAGTAGAAACACAAACACATGTAGCTTTTAATAGTAACACAAGTCAACTCAACAAGGGTCTGGTGGGGCCACCCCAAAGTAGCCTGAAGCTGAAATTCAAACCTAACCCAAAAACTGGCTCTGGTCAAAGTTTAGGTTGAGCTGGATGAATAGTTTAAAATGTCTCAAAATATTAATTGCATTATGCACATAAGAAGTAAACTCAAAATATCTTATACCTGATTTGGTAATATTTCAACATCAAGCCAAATTACTTTTCTATTCAAATTCTGATATATATCATGAATCCAACTATGATACTGAAAAGGTACAACCCAATTGGTAACCAATCAACTGATACTCATTCAAATTCACTGGTATCATAGAAATTACCATAATCAAAAGTGAACAAAACAAACAACAGATTTTTTTTGAGTCGGGATGCCAGAGACCAAAAGACAAGCCCAACAAAGCAGGGTGGAGATTTTCCAACCCAAGTCCAATCTAAGGCCTAGAAAATGCATACAAAGTTTCACCCAAAATGAGATTACATTCAGCAAGTTAGGATGATCATGTAATGAGATGAAACAAGATGAAACACTACTTCCGTAATTGTAGAGATCCGATGTTGAGTACATCCATGACTCGTGTATAAACCCTTAACTGAATAAAAGGACCCCTATAGGGTATATATATGGCAGTTGCATCAACAAACTATATTGAAAGGTAAAAGAAAAGAAAACAAAAAACAAAATAAAACTGAACTATTACCTGTGATGAGAAGTTCTTAAATGGTTCAATTTCAGATGATGAAAGCAAATCTTCTTTAGTAACCAAATTGGGATATAAGACAGTCAAGGCAGCCAGACTGGACTTCCCGCCATAAATTTGTGCTCCTGCTACATATATACGTGTCTTCCGACTGAAACCAAGAGCAGCAAACATAAGTACTGCCTCTTCAGGTGTTAGTGGACACTGGCCCTCTGAACGGAGGGCTGCAGCAGAAGGTAGCCTGCAATATGTTAAGTAGTTTTCATAAATAAAAGTAACATGAAACATGCACTTTAATTAGTAACCAAGATCTATGAAATTCCATAGGGATCCATGGGCAGTCACATGATAACCATATAATGCATACTTGTGGGTCTTTTCACGATGTGCCAGTGCTGGGAAATGGTTCTTGCGAAATGCTTCCAACTCTTTTTTCTCTTTTTCACCACCACCAAAATCACATAAAGAATGAGCTACCATGTCAATTTCGAATCTCATGTGTAGAGCTAAATATCTGGAATTTTTTACAGAAAAATCCATTTGCCCTTTCAGATTTGGTTCCTCCACAAATGGACCAACCAGATTTGTATCCAATGAACCTTGACTAGGTATATACTGACGTATCCTCTGAATAAGCAAAGCACCAGTTTGTTGAATTTTGGGGATAAATTGGAGTGCATGAAAGTTGCATCTGCATCGAAGTCTCTGGATGAAGTCCCTCAATTAGGAAGCAAAGAAAGGGAAAAAAAAAAGATAAAACTTTGAGAAAACAGTATATTACAGAGGCACAATATAGATTTTTTATCAGTAAGAGGCACAATATAGATGTAGTCAACAAAGTATCATTGGATCAGAAACCAAGCAATTACTAAATTACCTGCAACTGAAATGGTATTGGGTCAAATGCCAAACGATGCCCAAACCCAAAAAGATGGACAACTCCATTCTGGTGTAGTATTGGAAGAATGTTTTCCAAGAAAAAAACTGGTTTGGCTTCTTTCATTATGTCATCATCTGTCACCTGGCAGGAATTCCCATTAAGTAATGCTAACCAAACACCAGGAAAATACATCATGAAATTCAAGTCAATAAGTTGGCAAAATAATCTTGATAACAGATGACTACTCACAAGGCTACCAATTGCCTCCAAATCCAATGATCGTAGTTCCACAGGTAGTTTCTTCACAATCCGAATATCAGGCTTCAAGTAGTTGATAAAATGCTTCTCCTGATAGATATCGCCAAATTGGCTAAGAAATAATAGAATACGGCTTTGTCACTTTTCCATCTTTAAAATATGGAGATGAGTGAAAAACTGATATATCAATAATGTAACATGTTGGTGGCATTGGGACTCATTTCTTTCTTTTTCTTATATTTTGCACAAGTGACTATCTCTATAACCCTAAACAGGTTATTAGGGCACTTATCTACATGAACTGACCTATTTCAGTTTACTTTTTCTTACATTTTGCACAATTGACTCTTGACATAAACATTTTGCACAATAACCCTAAACAGCTTATTAGGGCACTTATCTAAAACAGTAGCATCCTTTGATGGATAGCCACCTCAAAAAAGTAGCCCTTTGCAAGATAATAATAGTTTCCCTTCCCAATGTTCAAAGTATCGATACACCCCGATATGCAGGCAGGATGTGTATTGGTACTTTGAACTTCACAGTTCACACATCATTATTTTTTAGTTTTTTTCTCAAAATTTCAGAGGAGGCTCCTTTTAATGCCATTTAACTATTAAAAATAGTCTTTCCTTAAAATACCTTATAAAGGCTGTATCAGCCACCTATCAATATGATATGATATGCCTGATACAGGGCATATCGTGTCAAAATTTTGAACCTTGTCCCTTCCTCCAAGGAGTGATATAGCTGATCAAAACCATCCACTGGATAAGGATCCTTTAAATTTATGACACATTAAATCCACTATGTTCTTCCCAAGGACCCCAAATAGAAGATAAGAGGATAACTTCAAAGTATACATCCTCTAAGATAAAGAATGCTGTAGAAATGACCTTCAATAAGGTCAACGTACGTCCAATAATGACCCTAGAAAGCCCAAACAAACCCATGAGAAGCTGCTAAATACTCCAACATAACTTGCAAAGCAGATAGAAGTTAAATGTATCCTCTGGTCTTCCAGATTTGTACAGGATACAACAATTCATTGAGAACATTTCTTTTTTGTCAACATGCCAACCTTTAGAACTTTCATTCTAGAAATCCCATTAAAAAAAATACCTCTTATCTCTCCAAACGCCACTCTGCAAAAAATTTGGAAGGACAAGAGTCGAATTAAGTAACCGGGCAACTGCAACAGCATTACATACCTGTAACCAATAAAGCTTGACGGCATGTTGGCATCATATATTTGACAATAGAATCTACAACTTAGTATTCCCAACTCACAGAAAAGGATAGTCTTGAAAATAATTGCAAAATCAAGAAGTTAAGGATATTCTATAAGAACTGTATAATATAGGCAATTTTTCTTTTCAGAAATCAGAACATTACTTACAGCTATTCGCTGCTGGTTAATTCCACCATTTGCACTGACAAGAATGTATCCGTTATTCCCCTCTTGGATGTCATGTTTCACAAGCAAAGCAACATGATGAATCAGATTTCAAATATCATGTAAATATTTGGGATCAGCACCACACTGACATAAAAGCAGAAAGCAGGGGTCATTAACACCCCCTGTGGAACACTTTATTGCAGAGACATATATGAACAAGAAAATGGTTTAGGTGCTAACCTTGTGAAGCAGCAGCTTGAAACTTCAATTATAAGTTAAAAAAAAACAAATGAAAGGGACTCCAAACAGCAATCCAACCAGAATTCAGAAATGTAGTAAGATTTCCAACAAAGAGGCCCTTATTGATATTACCAGAAGGCTCCCGGTTGCGTTGATGAGCACAAGGTATCCAAGAGAAATTGGCAAGTTGTGGTTCTTCCCATAAATCATTAGGCTCAGGTTTGTCCTCTCCCTGAATATAGATATACTCAAAAGTAATGAATAACATGAAAGAATTCAACAAGACTGGAATACAAATTCCTGATCTCCACCTCATTCAGATGAAATCTTTTAGACAAACCCCACCTCTACTAAAGCATGGGCAGCCAAGGCCATCATTCTAGCATATCTAATTCCATGTGTCCTCTTGCCTTTACCAAACTTGTTCCATTTTACCTGATAACATTACAGAATAATTGAAAGGACTTTATTGGTGCCTTATGCAGTGCTGAATTTTATCTATAATAGCATATCCAAATACAACAATAGTATAAACTCCAGTTAACTCTTTCTATGAAATTCGTTTCCACCCCAATTGTGTATTATAGAAATAATTAAATGAGAATATGCTTCAATATATGACATTTATAGGGCAAAAAAAAAAGACATAAGGTTGAGACCTCAATGCCCTACATTTTTTTAGGAAAATGCCCCTAGTAATAAATGGCCTACTATGTYGATAAAAAGAACGAAAAGAGTATTATTATACTTGCTATAGTATGATATAAAAAATAAAAGAAAATGAAATGGGTACCCCTTTAAGTTGTTAGGAAGATTTTATTGATCAAAAAAAAAAAAGTTGTTAGGAAGATTCCTGCAATCACTAATTTTTAGCAAACTTTTATGGAAAAATCTATGATACCGGAAAGGCTTTGACCAATACCTTAGACATGAATACCTTTCAACACATGAATACCTTAGACATGAATACCTAACTCTGGCAACTGATAACTCCTGCGGTGAAACTAAATCTGGCGACTATTAACACTGGCAATCGGCGTTAACTTTCAGTTCCTCCGTCCAAAAGATTTTTAATCGTGGGAGAAAATGAAAAGGATTGCAGTAGTTGGATCAAAATCTATCGAAATAGAACGAAGAAACCATTGAGATGAAATTGCAGTAACAGAAAGAAGCAAGGGAGCTTGGACACGAATAGTCTTGACTCAGGAGGATTTCCTTTGGACCAGGAAGTTTTTCCAGGAGGTTTTGAAATGATAGAGTGTGCTAGAGTCATACATCTATCAAACTCTACCCTGTGCATCTCTATCCTGTACACCTGTCAATTTCTATCCTGTTCTAACTTACTGCATTCTTGTCCTGTACATACCTGTATGATGAAGACTCCTGTACACTAAAGACTCCTGTACTAGTACTCTTAAGAATCAATATAAATTCAAGTACAAGAACTCACCGAAATAATCAAGGTGAGATTACTAATTTTTGTATTCTGTGATATTACTATTTACAGTGTTCTGTTTTATGGTATCAGAGCATAGGTTGTTGGCCTCTTTTGCAACTCAATCATGTCGACTGTATCTGCAAGCTCAGGCACTACTGAAGCAGGAGTCACAACCATTGTGAACCTGAATTTTCCAACTACAACAAGCCATTTAATCTCCATCAAACTAAATCGCATGAACTACTTACTATGGCGATCTCAGTTTGTGGCTGCTCTCAAAGGTTTTAAAGCTATGGGTTACGTTGATGGTACTATCCAATGCCCACCTAAGACCATTGAGAAGGATGGTACTTATACCATGAATCCAGATTTCATTTTATGGGAACAACAGGACCAGTTGCTCCTCAGTTGGATCCTTGCTTCACTCTTAGAAGGTGTTTTGGCCCAGGTTATTGGGTACGCTACCTCAAGAAGCGTATGGAATGCCCTGTCAAGGCTGTTTGCTTCAAAATCAAAAGCTCATGTGATGCAACTCAGATTTGAATTGACCCATTTGAAGAAGATGAATCAGTCAATGGCTGATTATCTAGAAAAGGCTCGTTTGATCTCTGATAGTCTTACTTATGTTGGTGAAACAATCACAGACTCTGAACTGATTCAGTTTGTGCTAGGAGGACTTGGCCTAGACTATGAATCTCTTGTTACTACTCTCTTGCTGAAGGGAGAAAATCTATCATTTGATGACATACATGCTATTCTTCTCAATCATGAGATTCGAATGCAACACACTACATCTCTGTTTGATCCAATATCTCCCCAGGCCAATGTTGTAATGCAAAAGCAATCTCAGTCACTCAAAACAAATGGCTACAAGTCTAAGTCAAAACCAGGTAAGCAGAAAGTTAAGAAACCTAATCCCTATCAAGGGGTTAGGTGCCAGATATGTCTAAAATTCAATCATACAACTTACAAGTGCAGGGCTCGTTTTGATAAGAATTTTCGTCCTAATTCATCTCCTTCTGCATACACTGCTGCAACTGGTCCAGTCATTGATAACAGTTGGTACCCAGATTCGGGTGCAAGCCACCATATGACTGCAAACTTGGCAAATCTTCATCTTCAATCTGAATATATTAGACCAAATCAATTAACGATTGGCAATGAAGAAGGTCTATCTATTGCACATACTGGTACCTCTACATTACATGCTTCTGAACATTCCTTTATTTTGAAAGACATACTCCATGTTCCCAACATTACTAAGAATTTACTTTCTGTGGCTAAATTTTCTAAGGACAACAATTGTTTCTTTGAATTTCACCCCAATGAGTTCATTGTGAAAGACCGGGAGATAGGCAATGTTACTTCAGGGTCATAGTAAACACGGCTTGTATGAGTTACAGGGGATTTCAAGTGGAGTTACAAATAATGTCCCTCCTCCTACTGCATTCCTTGGGGTGCGAAATTCTATTGATTGCTGGCATGAAAGGCTTGGGCATCCTGCTGCAAGGCTGGTTCGATATGTCGTCACCTCCAATAATCTTCCTCTATCTTCTAATAAGCGGATGACATTTTGTCATTCCTTCCCTTTTGGCAAGTCGCATAAACTACCATTCTCTTCTAGTTCTACTACATATGCATCTCCACTTGAACTTATTTTTAGTGATGTATGGGGACATTCTCCTGTGAACTCCATTAATGGATTCAAGTACTATATTGTCTTTGTTGATGGCTTTAGCAGATATCAGTGGATTTTTCCTCTTGTTCACAAATCAAATGCACTTCCTACATTTGTCAAATTTAAACAATAGGTTGAAAATCTTTTCAATGTTAAAATTAAATGTCTTCAAACTGATGGTGGGGGAGCGTTCAGAAAATTTCAGTCTTACCTTCAACATTGTGGCATTTCTCATTGACTCTCTTGTCCACATACGCAAGAGAAAAATGGGATGGCTGAAAGACGCCATCGCCAAATTGTTGAAACAAGACTAACATTATTAGCAAAGTCCTCAGTGCCTCAAAATTACTGGTGGGAGGCCTTTTGTGTAGTAGTGTTTTTGGCTAATAGACTTCCCACGTCGACACTCAACATGCAATCACCATTTGAACTATTGTTCAAACGTAAGCCTGATTATGTGTTCTTAAAGGTTTTTGGGTGTTTATGCTTCCCATATCTTCAGTCCTATGCTTGTAATAAACTAGACTTTCGTTCATCAGCTTGCATGTTCTTGGGATACTATGATAATTACAAAGGATATCGGTGCTTACATTTTCCCTCTCAACGCATTTTTACATCTCGGCATGTCCTATTTGATGAAGATGTGTTTCCATTTGAATCTCATGAAACCAAACAACAATCTTCACCTTCACGGTTCTCTTTTGGACCACCTCCTATGGTAAGTCGTGTCCCTTCAGTGCCATGTTCCACTACTACTGCTGGTCCTCCTATTGCACATTCCGCCGACCCACCACTATCCTTACCACCCTCATCTGCATCACCTGATTTGGTACAATCGTGCACCTCACCTTCATCAACTGATTCTGCTCCATCTCCTTTACCTAAACCAAAAACCAGTACCAGTGAGCTTGTTTCTCCCTCCTCTACTAATGATGCTCCAGTGTTGCCCTCCTCTACTCCTCCGAATCGTCATCCTATGCAGACCAAGAGCAAAAGTGGGATATTCAAACCTAAAACATATATGGCTTCCACATATCCACTATCCTCTTTGTCTACTGAACCCACATCATTTGCTGAGGCCAATGCCAGTCCAGAATGGCGAGCAGCTATGCAGTCTGAAATTGATGCCTTACACCACAATCAAACTTGGGCGTTGGTACCACCCCCACCTAACATCAATTTGGTTGGATGCAAATGGGTTTTTCGCATTAAGCGAAACCCAGATGGCAGCATCAGTCGCTATAAAGCACAACTAGTTGCTCAAGGATTTCATCAACGTCTTGGCATTGATTATACAGAGACATTCAGCCCTGTTATCAAGCCAACAACCATACATGTTGTTTTAAGTATTGCTCTCTCTAGAGGATAGCCTCTTCAGCAACTAGATGTACAAAATGCATTTCTCCATGGAGATATTGAGGAAGATGTATATATGAAGCAACCTCCCAGTTTTGTGGACCCAACCCATCGTGACTATGTGTGTCATCTGCGCAAGTCCCTATATGGCTTAAAACAAGCTCCTCGAGCTTGGTATCAGAAGCTCAGTTCCTTCTTACTTGATGCTGGTTTCAAGATGTTGATCTCTGATTCATCTTTTTTCATAAGGCATTCACCTAATAGTATCATCTTTATTTTAATATATGTTGACGACATCATTGTGACCGGGTCATCTACTAAGGCTATACAGCTTATCATTCATCAAATGAGCAATGCCTTTGTAATTAAAGACTTGGGTCCATTACATTTCTTCCTTGGTGTTGAGGTCATTCCTGACAAAACAGGTTTAATCTTATCACAACGCCAATACATTGTTGACCTCCTTTGTCGTGCTTCACTAGATGGGGTGAAACCTGTTTCCACACCAATGGCTTCCACCACCAAGCTGGTCCAACATTCTGGAGAGCCTTTTGCTGATCCTACTACTTTTCGTAGTATCGTTGGTGCTTTACAATATCTGACTCTAACTAGACCTGACATTGCTTTCTCTGTCAACAAAGTTTGCCAATTCATTCATCAGCCCACTTCTGATCACTGGGAATCAGTTAAGTGAATTCTACGTTATCTCAAGTCTACGCTTCTTTTTGGATTGCGGCTATCTCCTTCTACATCTCTTGATCTCCATGCCTTTTCAGACGCAGATTGGGCTGGCTGTCCTGATGATAGGCGATCCCATTGTGGTTTTTGTGTCTTTATGGGTTCCAATCTCATTTGTTGGTCCTCTCGTAAGCAAGCTATAGTCTCTTGCTCTAGCACGGAATCAGAATACAGAAGCCTTGCTTGTGCTACATTAGAACTGATTTGGTTGCAGTCACTCCTTCGTGAATTGGGTGTTTCATCCACTACTTCTCCCACCCTATGGTGTGATAATCTTGGTGCGACCTATCTTACAGAAAATTCAATCTTCCATGCTCGCACCAAGCATATTGAAATTGATTATCATTTTGTGAGACAGCGGGTTGCTAAAAAGGATCTCCACGTTCGATTTATTTCCAATCATGATCAAGTGGCAAACATCTTCACTAAGCCCCTCTCTCTTGCTCGATTCAGCATGCTGCGTGACAAGTTGACTGTTGTTGACTTGAGGGGGGATGATAGAGTATGCTAGAGTCATACATCTGTCAAACTCTATCCTGTACATCTCTATCCCGTACACCTGTCAATTTCTATCCTGTTCTAATATTCTTATCCTGTACATAGCTGTATGATGAAGACTCCTGTACACTGAAGATTCCTGTACACATAGTACTCTTAAGAATCAATATAAATTCAAGTCCAAGAACTCACCGAAATCATCAAGGTGAGATTACTAATTTCTGTGTTATGTGATATTACTGTTTACAGTGTTCTGTTTTATGAAAGACAACCGAAGGCCATTCGCAGACAAAAGAGAGTCAACAAAGGAAGAATCTTTTGCATTCAGCTCAAGGAAACAGCACAACTAAATATATACAACTATTGTAGCTTGAATCTTTTGTAAGCATTCACAGACTGAAAGAGAGTCAACAATTCATATATTCAAGAAACTGCACAACTAAATATATACAACTATTGTAGCTTCAAGCGAATGCTTACAAAATTGGGTCTGTATTAAATTATTCCATGCTCTAACAAGGAAATATAAGTTATTCGTAGATATTCCCTAAACTGTCACCATTGTATATAATAGTTGGGGAAAAAAACAAAAGGAACCGGAGGTCCGGATCTAAGATACGACAGTACCTATTTATTTCTTACTTTCAGATTCATTTTTTCATTCACAACTAATTTTATTTGTCACTACTGCTAGGTAGAAACAAGTATAGATCTCACTTGTAGTGCAATGATGGTAATTATGACAACAAAAGGTTTCCAATTAGAACACATAAAATTAGATGCTTACACGAACAGAGGATGAATTTCTATTTACGAACCCATCTCTGGGACTGATAACTGTATGTTGAAGACGCGAAAGCAACAACCAGTTCATCAGGCAAACACACCCCACCAGTGCAGTTATAACAACAAGAATCCTCATTCGCTTCCAATACCACACTCCCCCAGCCTTCCCCTTCACTATTTGGTGCAGCTGCAGCTGCTGATGTTGCTCCTGTCTCGAGAAAAAGCCTATAACATTCCAACTAGTCCATGGCTTCCGCTTCCACCATTCACTAAAATCGAAGGAACTGAAGAGAGACTGAAAAGAGCCGGATCTTTGAAAGTTAGAGAATTTTCCATGGCAGGACCTATAGCCTGGTCCGAAATCGAAACCTGGAAAGGCAGTAGGATTTCTTGGCAAGCTCTGTCTGCTCCTTGGTCTTGACGAATGTAATCTGCTTTGGAAGGAACTCAACCATGCATTGCTATCAAACCGATGCGAAACCCTAATTTCTTCAAAGCCATATAAGCTAGCTTCTTCTGCTCCACCTCTGCCGTTGTCAGCTTCAACTAACACATTAGAAGCCATGACTGAGACTGTGCTTCTCCAACCTTCCTTTTTCAACGGAATGAAGAGAGAAGAACGGAAAGGAGATATGAATCTTGATTCACTACTTTGTGAACAGTTATTCAAATTCCCTTTGCATTTTCAGAGAAGAAAAGAAAAACCGACGAAAGCTAGAAGGGATTTTCTGCGAGTGAAAAGCCAGGTGCCAAGGGCCCAAGGCCAAGGGTGGTGGAATGTCCAAGTCCAAACGAGGCGGAATTGTAACTGACAGTTTTATTTGTCTCAAAATTACGAAGACGCTGACACGCTGTCAACAACGACTAAATGCAACTCTTGAAATTCTTCGCCTGACAGACAAGATGGGCCCACATGTAACATCACGTTATTGATTACTTTCTTAAAATTCTTAAAATACCTTATTTAACAAATTGTCTAAAACTTTAAATCCACTCCATCTCCTTTCAAACACCCCATTTATGCCATTTATGCCCTAGTTTCTGTTTCCGTTCCTCTCCAGCAACCCCAACTCCTCCGTTTTCAAGCAGAATTCTTCTTTGCGGACGCAATAGCTCCTCTACCTCCTACTAGGCGGAAATAAATGGCATCAACAATATTCTATCAATGGCCAACTGTGACTTTGCTAGGGGCTCTGCTCTTCGTCTTTCATAAAGCTCTCGTAGAGTTCAAGAAGAATCCCAGTACACACACAGTCAAAGAGAGCTTGCTAGAATCGAGAAAGCTAGCACAAGCACTAACTTGATGATGGAGAACCTTCATAAGATGCTGGAGACGATGGCCGGAAGATGGGTTTTGTCATCATAATCAGAATTGTTCAAATAGACGATGCAAGCCATCTTCAGAAGGTTCCAAAAAATATGCTACTGGAGCAGATAAGCTGGAGATTAATCCATTAAAATCGATTCCAATATGTTTGTCGTTGATATCACTGAATTCGGGGTTCCGGATTGTGTCCAGCTCGATGGCAACAACATGATTGTCTGGATTGTTAATGTTGGTGATATTGAACAAACCGAAAAATTGTTTATGCATGGCTCCAGGCAGATCTTTTGAAGGTGAGATGACAAAAGCAATTCATAGCCAGTTGGTTGTGAGCTCTTAGTGAATGCAACAACAAAAGTAGAGAAGGAGAAAACGCTACCATTGGAGGAGTTCCACCAACAGAGATTCTGCTTACTCTGTCCACATGTTAGGAGAAGATTTCGGGCTATTTGTTTTCTTTAGGGATAACAGAATTATAAGGATAACTTTTGGGCCTAATATCAATAAAAATAATATATTTAAAAAATTTTCAAAATTAAGTTAATTTTTTAAAAATAATATCAATTAAGGATAAAATCACTGTTTATCTTCTTTATAGTGCTGCCGCCGGCCGCCACCAGCGCCGCCGCCGCCGCCTTTACCTCCGCCTATATCCGACAACGTTGCCGGAGGTAGAGGTGGGCGAAAATACCCGGAGGCGTTGCCGGAGCGGCGGTCGGCGACGGCGCTGTTGAATAAATTAGAAGAAAAGAAGATGAACAGTAATTTTACCTTTAATTGATATTAATTTAAAAAATAATAATTTAACTTTAATATTTTTTTAAATATATTATTTTTATTGATATTAGAACCCAAAATCTATCCTTATATACTAATATCCCTTTTCTTTAAACCTGGTAATTTCTCCCCTTCTTTTCTCTCTATTGATAAATCAAAGGTACGATATTTCTCCGATGTTAATGGCAGGTCGTGGCATTCCCAATTCGGTTCCACTATCGGTGGGTCGTGGATGAAAACTCGAGGGAGGTAGTTCAATGGCGATTCATTGATAGCCTAAATTTGACTCTGTGACAACCCAACAGCCCTCTGAGCTACCGCTGGGTTGTTGGAACAGAGTACGAGCTGGAGTTTCACACCTCGAAGCTTTCCGTTGGCCCTCTAACTCTAAGCAGTGAAGCCGCCTCAATGAGCTGCCGATCAGATATCATCAACATTTGAGCTCACAGGACGATGAAGCCTGCCCGCCAACCGCCCTCTAAGTTGTAACGCCACGATACCGTAGGCGGTGGCTGCCATCTCCGGCGTTTCGAAGCTACCCAACCAAATTCTCGTTTTCTTCCCCGTTCATGTATCTCCGACACCCACGATTGGTGACGCCTATTTGAATACTTCTGATTATGATGACGAAACCCATTTTCCAGTCGTCGTCTTCGACATCTTCTGAAGTTCCCAACAAGAGTCAAGTTTTTGTTTGAATTGGTCCATTATCTCTATGAAATTGGCCTGAACCTCCAAATGTGGACTTTCTAACTAACAGATTACTGTCGATCCGGATGCTTTCAAGGTAATTTTGTTCGAATTGATATCCGACACAAAGGCAGTGGAACACAGAAGGGATAAGAGGGAGGTGGCATTGGCGGATCGATCCAGTTTTGATACGGGAAGAAGAAACGATGAGCACCGTGGGTGTGGTGGCAAAGCTGGCGTTCCGATGTGTTGTTACCGATAAGGGCGACCGATCAGACGCCGAGGAGGAAGTAGTTGGATTGGATTGGTTTCCATTTTCCACTTCCAATAATTTCAATAGGTGTCAAAAGTTTTATTTTAAAAATTAAAAAAAAATAATAATAATGAATAAAATAATTTTTTTAATCATTCTGTTTAACAAGTACTAATAGAAAGAAGATTTAACCAATTGTCAAAAATTTTAAAATTACTTAAAAAAATTGAGTTTCTAGTAGATGAGGACAACTTTTTGTCCAGAATATCAATAAAAAGTAATATTTTTTGTTTAATAATTAAAATAAAATAACTTTTTTAGAAAAATATTAATAAAGGACAGTGACACTGTTAATTGTCTTCCTTCGCTAAAAACCCAAAATTCTATCAACGTTTTCAAGAAAAACTGAAAATCCCTCTATTTTGTCCGTTGGTTGGTCGGGAGCTGATTATCGGCTACAGTAGGAAGATGACCACTGTTGCTCACCTTCCTACTCTCGATGGTTTTGTCGACACGTTGATATTAAGGGCAAAAAGTTGCCCTTATCTGCTAGAAACCCATAAAATAATGCTTCGGACTTTGGTGGATCTGCACTCTCATCTCGTCCCTACGTCTCCAACTCCGCAGATCGGTTTCTGAGTAACAGGGCGCCACGGTTTTCGAGCTTCGAATTCCCAACTCCAAAGTCATTTTTCCTGTTCAGCTCTTCCTCCACCCTGAGAGTGTACGGCGAGTTCTCATATCTCTCTCGCAGGTTTGACTCTTCTTCGGTCTCTACAATGAATCCTGCAACATTTCTCCAAGACGTCAATCGGCAAGCCATTAAGGGAGATTGAATTTTCACAGAAATTTAAAGGATTTGTTTTGCTAAATTTCCATGGATTTTCATTTCAACTCACATGAATCGGCAAGATTCTGAAAACGCATTATCAGTGGGAGAGCATGCAATGGGAAACTGCAAACTCAGCACAAACAATCTTATCTGCAAACTTCGCCTGCTAGAGAGATATGAGAGTGTCGTTTTCATGGATTGAAACAGAGTCGTTTCTGATGTAGCGCGATTCGGTCACTCCTACCTGGCACTCACGTGGTTCCTGGAAGGTACCTGAGATGAAGAAAAAGAAGAATCCCCGGAGAGTTTACCCGGTGGTGATACTCCGATGCTTAAGTTAGTACTCTGTAGGAGAAGCAAGAAGGAGACGAATGCTAAAAGTGCAGATAGCGCGTTCTCACTGTACTCGAGAGATTAGAGGTCTCAAGAAGAAGTTTCTCTTTTGCCCTGAGGGCTTTTATAGGGACATTCACGTCAGGTTGGGCATAACCGCCACTGGGCTCCTACCACAGCCGTTACCTGCCAGGGCTGCGCAGGTGGCCGTTGTGGCGTACATCTCGCCCGGGTGAATGACACGTCTCCGAAGTGACAGGCACGCCCTTGCCTACTGTGAGACGTGGACGCAGACTGCCGAAAGGACTGGGACTGCGCCGTCAGTAAGGGATATGGTGTAGTCTGACCGGTACGGTCTGTCAGTCGGAAGCTTCCTAGGGAGTGTTCGTGCGGTTCATTCGCGAGCTATTGTTTAACGAACTTGGAACACTCCAGGGTTACCCTTAGTAGAATTGGTCCTGGGGATGGCTTGTCTGCTTGGAAGCTCGGACGAGCTAATGATTTTAGCTCACGAGCTAAAAATGCCTCGGACTATCTCTTCAAAGGTAGCTCAGGGAGCTCGGGGTTCGCGTCGCGGAGAACTCCTCCTTTCGTGAGCTACAATGTAACGAGCTGCTTTGTAGGCCCGTCACTTGGTCGTACCAGGCTACAACGCTGAGCTGTCGCTCGTGCTGAGTCAGTGTCCATGTGTCACAGTTTCATAGGTTGGGTCAAATCATTTTCCATCAATTGCCCCCCACTCCTTGGGCTAAGAGCACTGCCTTAGCGCGGGGAGTTTACGAAGCGCGATGGATTAATTTGACCAAAATTCAAACTTGATTAACTGCCCACATTAAATGCATTTGCGGGAATCAAGAGATTTTCTGACTTTCTTGACTTTTCGGATTCTGAAAATGTGCTGAGGTGGCTTTTAACTCCAAACGTCGTGCGGCCGCGATTACCTTAATTACGGAAAACGTGTCGCCAATCACCTTCGGCTTTCAGAAGGTGTGCGGTCAGGGCGCCCGCAGGCCATTGGATTTGCCTTGATCCGGACTGTCAACTTAGAAGGGTGGAGACTATAAATAGGGGGGCCTCTTGGGCCTCACTTTCTCCCACACCATCTTGCTGTCTTCGGATTCTGAGGTCGCGCACTTCATCTAGTCTACCCGAATTCCTTAATTTGCTTCGCTTTGTCTCTTCTGGTGAGTCCCAATCGCTATTAGCCATGTCTGGGTACCCATGCCACACCTACCACAGGGGCGATAACCAGGACAACGATGCCCCCTCGAGCTCGGGGGGAGACTGGGAGTAGATCCCGAAGGCTCGGGAGGCCTCCGGCGACGTAGCATCTACTTCTAGGGGGAGGGAGCCTGACACATTTGGCCCTTCCTTGATGACAGCGGAGAGACTCAGGTCTCTAATCCGCTACTTTCGCCTCCCTGGGGACCTGGTTTACAGCCTCCCTACTGGCAACTTCCCTTGGGAGCATGGTCCCAATGACATAGTAATCTTCCAGGAACAACTCGAGGCTGTCTTGCGTCTCCCCCTACACCCCTTGATAGTGGAGGTGTTAAATCACTTTAATGTCACCATTGACCAGCTTCATCCCAACGCCATTCGAAACATGGTTGGGACTATATCTCTGTGTTACGAGTACTTCCTTCCTTTGGACCTTGATATTTTTGCCTTTATCCTTTGTATAAAAAACGCTGCTCCTGGGGTTCCTCCGGAGAGGCGCTTTTACTACCTCTCTCCCCGTCACGGCTATAAGCTCTTATACGAGCTGCCGAATAAGATTCCCACCTGGAAGCGGTATTACTTTGTGGTCCGTAACCCTGAGGGGTGGCCCTTCCCAACTGCTTGGAGGGGCGCCATCCAAGACCCCAGGGCTGAGCTGGACCCCGAAATTCGGAAAATGATGTTGTCCTAGGCATCAGTAGGCTTCCTTTGCTCGGACTACTTGGCCGAGGAGAAGCTCGTGCAGGCCAGCCTGAGCCCGGGTAGGTTGTCTTTTTAGGTCACGTGGTTTCTGTAACGATGTCGTACACACATTCGCATGCATATATTTCATTCTTGTTGGACTAGCATTGATGCTCTTCTTGGCAGCCATCATGTCTAGTGCCGATTCGTGCCGCCTTCTCTCGAGCAACCAAAAGCGCCATGCGAAGAGGACGCGCCCTGACCGGACTCCCCCCTCAGGAGGTACTGAGTTCGGGTCTTTCAAGCCGGTTTTATCCTCCCCTCCGCTTGAGATTCCAGCACCCCCACCCGAGGGAACTAGTGGGGTTGACTTCGGAGGGGACAAGCTTCCTCAGCAGGGGGAGGCTCCCTATAACCCCCTCCAGCCATGCCCTTACCCCTGGTTCCTAGTGGGGAAATGGGAAGGGGTGAACGACTACCACGTGGCTCGCCGGAGGAGCCAGAAGGCGATTACTAACGATGAGGTCGCTCAATGGGGGAATATGGAGCCCGGGGACCTCGCCGCATTCACCTCTGCCCACTGCATGGTGGTAAGTGACTCCTTTCCTTTTTCTTCTCTCGTTTTGCTCCTCTCCGCTATCCTCTGAT